CTGAAGGGTGAGACTGTCAGGGTGGGGCGGGGCACTGGCCCCCCTCGTCCAGGGCTTCTGCCTGGGTACTCGGGAAGCCCATGGCCATCTCTGCGTTGCCTGGAGCAAATCCTTTTGTCCATTTTACCCACTTTCACTTGGAAAGAAAGGAACCCTTTTCTAAAACAGAGCTTCAAATTCTAGTCTAATCAGACGGACTCCGCAATGCTCAAGACCCAGCTAAGCCTTCTGCCAGGTCATCCCTGTCTTACACACCCCTGGCGATGGGCAGATCACTCCTGCAGCCTCCCTGTTCCGTGGAAGCAGCTCTGGTTGTTGAAAGGTTCTCCCACAAACTGAGTTAGAATCCATCTCCCCACATACCACATGCAGATCCAAGCCCTGCCCTCAAGACACTTCATGCCACCTATACCCCACGCTGAGTTTCCACTCTGGGACAGCCCTGAAGTATCTTGTTCTCATCAAACTCTCTCCTCTTGCACTCCACCCATTCCTTAGCAGTCACCCTCACCTCCTAGCCCACCTTACGCCCTCCTCACCTCTCCCTGCCTCCTCACAGCCGTCCAAAACGAGCGGGACCGGATCAGCACTCGAAGGTCAAGCTACGAGGACAGCAGCCTGCCCTCCATCAACGCGCTCCTGCAGGCAGAAGTCCTGTCCCAGCAGGTACCGGGGTGACCCTCCCACCCACCCGGAGACCCCTCCCCCATGTCAGTGTCAGCATCCAGACTCCGGAGCAGCAGATAGAAGGGGCCTCAGACATCACAGATGGGGACTATCCAGCGTCACATGGCCAATTTAGTAGCCAGGACGGAACTCGAACCCTCTGGGGCTCTTTCTTATCCATCCTGCAGCTCACACTCCACAGGCCAAGCAGAGTCCGGCTCTCACTGGGGGCCTGCGTGCAGCTGTGCACCGAGAGAATAGAGTAGTAGGCCAGTGGACAGAGGTGGCGAGCCGGAGCTCAGCCACCCTCAGCCCTTTGCTGTGTGACCCTGGGCAAATGATAGCACCTCTCTGGGCTGTAGCTGCTTCCTCTATCAGATGAGGGCAATATATTTTGTTTTGTTTTGTTTTGTTTTAGTTTGCTATAAGGCACATGCACTTGCCAGAGGGAGACAAGAGGGAAAGTGAGAAATCACCCCCATGGGGATGGGATGGCCACGCTGTCATTCCTTCTCCTCCATTTTCCTCTCTGGATTTTGGGCACGCACACACATGAACCCACTGTGTTTTTTAAGCCACTGTCTCCGGGGCTTGGACCGTGCTGTTGGCCATGTGGGATCCGGCCACCTTAACCGCCTGCTGGCCCAGGGTGACAGTTTTTGCCCTGCTCCTTGGGGCTGAGGGGTTCCTTGGTGCTCGCAGGAACTGGTGGTGGAGGAGGAGGAGGTGGAGGGCAGGTAGCAGGTGAGGTCAGAGGGAGCTCTTGACCCTCGTAGCTGCGTCCTTCAGAGCCGGAAGGAAGAGTCCCGCAGTCCAGCCCCTCTCTCCCCCAGCCCGCCCCAATCTCGATGGGGAAAGCTTTGAGGGAGAGGCTCCGTGCAGAGGGCCCAGCCACCCCCAGCATTTTCTTTTGTCTCCTGCAGATCACCTCCCCCGTCTCGGGGATCAATGGCGACATCCGCGCGAAGAAGATCGCCAGCATCGCGGACGTGTGCGAGTCCATGAAGGAGCAGCTGCTGGTGTTGGTCGAGTGGGCCAAGTACATCCCAGCTTTCTGTGAGCTGCCCCTGGACGACCAGGTGAGGGCGGCTGTGGCCGTGGACAGTGGGTGACCGTGGACAGTGGGCCTCCCTGGGATGTAGCCTTGGACTGGTTCGATTTCATTCCACAAAGCACACATCGTGCCCATGTGTGCTCAGAACTGCTTAAATCACTTCACAAATACAAACTCCCTGAACCCCTCCAAGCTGGCACCACGCAGGAGGCAGATACTGTTATTATTCCCATCTTTTAGGGGAGGAAACTGGGGCACAGAGAAGTTGAGTGACTTGCTCAAGGTCACACAGCTAGAATCCAGCACAGCTGGGATTAGAACAAAGCAGGGAAGCTCCAAAGTCCAGGCTTCTAGCCACTGCACCCAGCAGCCCTCCTGATGGGCTGTTGACAGGGACCCAGGGAGATTTTTGGCTTAAGGAGGCTCTAACATGGGTTCCCCGGGTCATCTTGGACAAGTTACTGCCTCTCTCTGAGCCTAAGTTTTCTTACCTGTAACGTGGGAGTGATAATCCCCCGTCCGGTGTGCTGTTGCGAGGATTAGGACATTACTATTCGAAAAGCAGAGGATCACACGATGGAGCCCTTGCCCAGTGACTGGACACGGCCGGTCTCCCTGAGTATCAAGCATCTTCCTTTCACCCAGCCAGGACAACTGGGCCAGCATTTCATTTACTAGAGCACATTCTTCGGGAAACTGCAAATGTCCCAGTGGGGAAAAGTGGGCTGAAGGAAGGTGGAGTGTGTCTGAGGACAGATGAGTTTCTGAGATGCCGCACAGGACAGCTCCTGCCCAGGGCTCCTGCCTGACCTCTGCAGCATCTTCCCGGTCTGGGAAAAGGGAGTTGGGCTGTCCCCTTCCCTGCCTCAGGGAATTTCCTCCCACGTTTTGCTGAAGAGACTGAGCGCGTACGTTGGTTGATTAAAGCTCCTGAGGAGCCCCGCCGTTTAGGCAACTGTCTAACTCTGCAGTCAGGGCTTCCCAAACCCCTCGGCCTCTGGGCCCTCCTGGGACACCTGTGAATGCTACATGTTGGGAAGCTGGGTCTCAGAGCTCTGGTTGGCTGGTCCTCAGCCTCATACATGCGGCTGGACCAGAGGCCCTCTCTCATGGATTCTGCCCTCCTTCGGGAGTGTGGACAGCATAGGGATCGTGTCCAAGCTGCCCCTGACTTCTCCCCAGCAACTTGTGCTCTGGACCTGGTCCCCTCTGCTGGAGAGTCTGCATTAATGTTTAATCCCTCCTGTTCCTTCCCAGGGGCTGAGCAGGGCAACAAGATACCCCCAAGCTGAGCAATTGTTAACTGTGATTTCCCACCCAAACCCCCCTGGCAGGGGCTCAGAGCATTCTCAGAAAGCAGTGATGGGTGGCCAGTAACAAAGGACAATCATTAACCCCCCACCTGCTTGCCCACCCTCAGTACAACCCCACGCCTGTGCTGAACCTGGGACCAGGAGGGTTCCCAGCTCTCCACTCATGGCCTGTCAGGAGCTGTCTTGCTCACAGGGGTGGGACAGACCTCGGAGAGCTTGGGGAAGCCTTGACCACCCCAGGACACCCCAGTTCTGCTGACGGTGCCCCAAGAGCCAGCTCCCAAGTTAGCGCGCTTCTTGGTTTGTTTGGGGCATCAATCCTTTGAGACCTAGAAAGCTGGGCATGATGGGATAAGGGGATTGAGGTCCTGATGCAATTGCCCTGAAGTCACAGAGCCAGTGGCCATGGGTGGGGTTCAAATTCAGGTCTTCTGCCTGGCAGTCTGAGGGCCACCAGGGTGACCAATACAGCCCTGCACAGTGCCTGGCATGCAGGAAGGGCATGGTAACAAGCATACTTCACCCTGCTCCTCCTGGTCCTGGAACGTGGACACTTGCCACCACAGCTGGTTCCTGTGTTTCCTCTTTTTCTGTCCCCTTCAGGCCATCCTGCCCACAGGGGACAGAGGGGCAAGGACAGGTGGCTTCTGGGAGGGACTAGATTCAAAGAGGAAGTGGTGATGGCTGTTCATCTACCCACCCATTCATTCACCCATTCTGTCCTTTATCCACTCCCACAAATGGAGTGATGAATCTTACCGGTGCTGGGTGTCTTCCAGACCTTAGAACGATGTCGCCGCCTTGTCCACTGCAGCCATTCTTGCCCCATCACTCTTTTTCACACAGCCGTCACCTCCCTCCCTCCCTTCCTTCTTTCCGCTCTCATTTTCGCTGTTTCTTTCCCTCTGTCCTTTCTCTCTTCTTCCCTTCCTCTCTTTTTTCCTTTTTTTAGAAGAGGTTTTTTGCCTTAGGGCATGTGTACTTGCTAGAGAGAGACACAGAGACAGTGAGAGGGAAAGTGAGATATTACCCGTGGTCAAACCGCAATCCCTTCTCCATTCACTTCCCAAGATCTTGGGCACGCATGCGCATGTGCCCGGCATGATTTTCAAGTCACCGGGACTGGGACTCAAACCGTGGTCAGTCATGTGCAAGTCCAGCGACATAACCACTGTGCCATCTGCTGGCCCCCTTCCTTCCTTTTTAACACTATTACCTTCTGTGCTATTTACTTACTTCTACTTTATTATCTGTTTATTTTCTGCACACACATCCCTCCCCACCCCCGCCTTTAATGTGAGTCCTATGAGAACTTGTCTGTCTTTTTTAGCTTTGTGTCCCCATTGTCTAAAAAAAGAGTCTGGCACTTAGGTGGCGTTTAACATTTGATAATTAAAAGAATGAACAATCAAATGAATGAATGAACAAAAGCTTTTAAACCTTCAGTTGGCTTGCTACCAAACCTCCAAACTCCCTAACCCTACCTTGAAGATAAGACCCTTGAGGCTACCGGCCTGCTGCTTTTTTTCTTTTAGCAGCCCATTCTTTGGTCCTTATGTAAGCACTCAGTAGATGGCTCTGAAAGAGCAGGAAGTGTCACCCTGTGAGCCAGCTGGGCCGCTGCTTCAGCCTTCAGTCTCCAAAGGCTTCTCCCTTTGCCTTGGGAATAGCCAGCCCTGACACCGACATCCACATCTAAGTCCTCGTAAGGCTCTCTTAGATTCCTAGACTCTCGCAATGCCAAGCTGGCAGGTACCCCCTTATGGACCAGTGATTTCATAAACCTAACTGCACATCTGAATCAACCTGCTAGATGCAGACCCCCGGGGCCCACATCCTCTCCCCAGAATCAGAATTTCTGAGGGCAGAGCCCAAGAATCTGTGCTCTTAGAAAGGACTCTTTCTAGTTCTCCACAGTTGATCTGTGGGTAGGGATTTGGGACCCACAGTTTTTGAACTTCTGAGGATTATAAACCATATTGAGAATCCAGTGAAAGTCTTTGAGCCTGTGCTCTAATATTCCCAGAATGGAGACCAGCAGATGGCGTAATGGCTACATCGCTGGACTCAACCACGGTTGGAGTCTCGGACCCAGTGACTTAAACTCACGCCAGGCACGTATGCATACGTGCCCAAGATCCTGAGAGGAGAATGGAGGAGAAGGGATTGCGATGTGGCCATCCCCCCTGGGGGGTGATTTCTTGTTTTCTGTCTGTCTCTGTCTCTCGTCTTTCTGGTGAGCACACGCGCCCTATAGCAAAAACCTCCACCCCCACAAAAATAAATAAATAAATAAATAAATAAATAAATAAATAAATAAATAAAAACCCAGAATGTCACTTACAGAGGGGAGCAGCACCCTGCCCAAGGGTGGCACGGGTCGAGGGCAGAGCAGGCGAAGAGTTCACCCGGCCCCGAGCGTACATTCTCTCCCCTTCCAGGCTGCCACTGAAGCCTTCCCACGTCCCTAGCTTTATCAGTTACAGGAGGAAGGCAGCAGTTTGATAATGCCCATTTTATAGCTGGGGCAGGTAAAGGCAGAGGAGGACATGGAGCTATCTGCTCAGGGCCACTGCTTAGTGAGCGGTGCAGATGGCAGACACCACACCTTCTCCCTTCCAGGTGGCCCTGCTCAGAGCCCACGCCGGTGAGCACCTGCTGCTCGGAGCCACCAAGCGATCCATGGTATTCAAGGACGTGCTGCTTCTAGGTGAGAAGGCCATTGCCCAGCCAGGGCTTCTTGGAGGGCACAGGCAGTATGGCACACCCGGACATGGGGGAGACATCCACAGGACCACATAGAAGTAAGGAACACAGGTCAAGGGTGGCCCTGTCCTCAGGCTAGCAATGGAGACTGCCAGGACTCCATTCTCAACTGGACACCCTACTCAGATGCAAGGAGCAACTTTTCGCCAGTGTTGATTTTAGAGCATGACCAGGGTTATCCCTGGAATTGCCCGGGCATTCTGCTGAGCTGTTTCCTTTAGAATAGGAGCTAGTGGTAGCCAGGAACAGCCCAAAACTCCAGCCTTGCTCACCTATACCTTCAGGACATATTTATTATCTTTTTAAAAAAATTATTTGTTTAATTTCATTTATTATTTCTGTTTTAATTTGCTATAGGGCACGTGCACTCACTAGAGAGAGACAGAAAAAAAATAAGAAAGCAAGCCACTAGGTCTGGGACTCAAATCATGGTCAGCCATGTGGGAATCCAGCACCTTAACCACCATGCCACTGCTGACCACTATATTTACTATCTTAAATGCTTAAACGCTTAAAAGCCACGCTACATGCCAGGGACACTGCTAATTACCTCACAAATGTTACCTCTTTGAATTCAGCAACCTATGAAGAAAGCTCTTCGAGGAATCTTCAAAAGATTCCATTTCATGGAAGATGCATGGTATACAATCACTATGTGTGTACCTCAAAATCTTTTTGTACCAGCATAAAATTATACCTTAATTTTATTTTTTGTTAAGCTTTTTGAAGTCCCTTTGTGTTACCGATCTCCATCTTATGGCTGAGAGGGCTTAAGTACCTTAATCCAAACATACCCAGCTACTGTTGGCAGGACCTCACTCCTAACATGTCCTGAAGGTCCAGGGGAGCTCAGCCCCAGCATCTGGACCATTGCACTTTGGTGCTTTGGTGCCTCCGGAGTGACTCTGGAATGTCTTTTGTACTGGGAGATGTAGGTAAATGGAACTTGGGTGATATGAAAGAAGTCCTAGGAAAGCCAAGGTCCCAGGCCAGCTGGACGACTTTAAGCAATTTATCCTCTTACTCTGGGCCTCCTTCCCTCTTCTATAAATGAGTGTGACGATCCCTGCCAGTCCCCCTCCCACGGGCACCAGCTGAGATGCCAACGGCAAAGCCAAAGCTGGAGGAGAGGGGTCTAGCCAGGGCGACTGCCCCATCCTCTCTCTCTCCTGGCCCTCCAGGCAATGACTACATCGTCCCCCGGCACTGTCCGGAGCTGGCGGAGATGAGCCGGGTGTCCATGCGCATCCTGGATGAGCTGGTGCTGCCCTTCCAGGAGCTGCAGATCGATGACAATGAGTACGCGTGCCTCAAGGCCATCATCTTCTTCGACCCAGGTACTGACCACACCTCCTGCCACATCCCTGACAGATCTCTCCCAGTGGATTACCTCCTCGTGCTCACAGCCTCATCGTCAGCACGGCCTGGAGCTCCATGTAACAGATGAGGCAAATCCAGGCCCAAGGGGGTGATGGGACTTGACAAGACTGATCCCGAAGGCCTGGGTTTGTCTTTCCTTTCTTCCCCTTCCTTCCTCTTTCCTTCTTTCTCCTTATCTCCCATCTTCCTTCTTTTCTTTCATCTGTGCTTCCTTTCCTTGTAAAATGGAACCAAAATAATGTCTCCACGGACTGAAAATGCAAATAGGTCCTCTATCCCTCCCCGCTTTTCCAGCCCAAGGCCTACACCCTGAAGGAAGCTTGTCTCATTTTTTTTTTTTTTTTGGCGGGGAATATTTAAAGATAATGGTTTTTAATACTTCCATTTTTTGAAACGTCTCCTCAAATGCCTGAGTCTTGTATCTGTTTCTTCTGGCAGTTTCTCGACAGTTCTAAAGAAAACGCTAGGCCTTATGTTTTTGATTCATCCAGTTTGGATGGTGTTTTCCCTCCTAGGATGGCTGAGGATTCTTGCTTCTCACATTTCCCATCTTTTCTCTTCCATCCTTTCAATAGACCTTCGCTGCTATTTGTGCCTCTCTGTAGACTTTCTTTGTGAGTTCCTTACATGCCTTGTATGGCTTTGTTTTGTGTCCCATCGACTGCAGGCAGCATCTCTTAATCCTTCTCTTAGCAGCATGAAGATACCACATACCTGCCCTTTTCTCGGGCTCCTGACTCTCCTCCCCGTTCCGTCTGCTGACTTCTGCACCTGTGTTTTGCAGAATCCTGTCTTGTACAAAGCCTGCTCTCATACAATATCCAGGTGCCTCAGCCTCAGAGGCTTGCTTGCCTTCTCCCTCCCACTTACATGTTAGAATTGACCTACTGTGTGTCAGGCACTGTCCTTAGCACTAGGGCCCTGTCTACATAGAGATCACTTCTGATAATAATAGTAATGGCTTGGTGGTTAAGGTGTTGGACTCCCACATGGCTGAGCACAGTTTGAGTCCTGAACTTGGTGGCTTACTTTCTCACTTTCCCTCTCTCTCTTTCTCTGTCTCTCTCTCTGGTGTTGCACATGCCCTATAGCAAATGAAAGTAATAATAATAGAAGTACACAAAATTAAAATAGGTAACTATTTTTAAAAACTAGTAACGGAGGACTAGCCCATCATATGGTGGTTAAGGTAGCTGCATCCCACACAACCAGTTGTGTGGTTCAAGTCCCGGACCCAGCAGCTTGAGAAGACACCCTGGACACATGTGTGTGCGTGCACTCAAAATCCCAAAAGGAGAAATGGAGCAGAAGGAATGGCTACATCACCACCCCCAAGGGAGGAGGATGCTTTCTCACTTTGCTTCACTCTCTTTTTCTGTCTCTGTTCAGTGAGGGCAAACACCCTCCCACAAATTAAAATGATAATAATAATAGTAATGGAGGGGAATTTGTTGAATGCTCACTAAGGCAACTTCTTAAACATATCATATGGATTCTCTTACGTACGAACATGGTACCTTGATGTAGGAATTAATAGTCTCACCTTGTAGATAAGGAAACTGAGGCACAGGGAGATTGATTAACTCGCCCCAGGTCAGCCAATCAGGAAATGGCAGACTCAGAACTGAACTTTGGACTGTTCTCTAAGTCACTATCTCCCTATCTCCCAGCCCATGGGCTTACCTATCTGCTCGACTCCCCGTTTCCTGGAGGGTGAGGTTTCTAGTTCTAGTTTCCCTAAAGCCTAGCCCAGGCTGCATGCCCTGCAGTGCTCGGTACAGGGCTTGGCAGGTCGTAATGGCTTAGGAAATGGACAGAGTTACAGACGCTGTCGGTCAGCAACCAACTGGAGAGGCAGGGGACCCAGGCCAGGGCCTAGCATGTAGGAGGTGCTCAGTAAATGTTTGTTGACTGAATGAGACAGTGCCCAAACGTGGCTCAGGAAGAAAGCCCGTTGGAAATGCGGCTGAATTCTCTTTCTGCCATTTCCTTTGTCCATAAAAGAGGAAGCAAATACAGGACCTCCATGAAGGTTTAGATCTAAGTATTGGATGATCTCTTGAGTCCCCTCCAAGGTTAAGAATGTAGAATTTATTCATTATTTTCTTTCATTCAACTTTCCATCATTTACCCATCCCTCTTCCAGTTATCCATTCAAGAAATGGACCAGCAGTTGGCGTAATGGCTATGTCCCTGGACTCCAATGTAGCTGACCGCGGTTCGAGTCCTGGACCTGGCGGCTTAAACTCACACAGGCCACATGTGCATGCATGCCCAAGATCCCGAGAGGAGAATGGAGGAGAAGGGATTGCAGCATGGCCATCCCCCTGGGGGGTGATTTCTTGCTTTCTGTCTCTCTGTCTCTCTCTGTCTTTCTGGTGAGTGCACGCGCCCTTTAGCAGAAACCACTCAAAAAAAAAAGAAATAATACAAAATAGCTATTTAATAAATTCGATAGTACCAAGTATTATTTTTAAATGACAAATAAAAGGGGCCAGATGGGGAACCAGCAGTTAGCGTAATAGCTATGTCGCTGGACTCCCACGTAGTCGACCACGGTTTGCGTCCTGGACCTGGTGGCTTAAAACTCATGCCGGGCGTGTGTGCATGCATGCCCAAGATCCCAAGAGGAGAATGGAGGAGAAGGGATTGCGGCATGACCATCCCCCCTGCGGGGTGATTTCTCACTTTCTGTCTCTATGTCTCTCTCTGTCTGTCTGGCGAGCGCACGCACCCTATAGCGAAAACCTCTCAAAAAAACAAAACAAAACAAAAAAGGAGCCAGATGATGTACAGCTGTAAAACACAACACTTGGCCAGACTGACCCACATGGGCAAGTTCTGAGTTCCTGTTCAGAGAGCTCCCTGAATATGCCATGATTGAGGCTGGCTGAGCTGGAGGAGTTTACAACATCCAGAACCTATTGGGGGTGCTGTCTCTCTCTCTCTCTCACTCTTGCTCTCGCTCTCTCTGCTTCTTTCACTCATGGAAGAAATAACTTAGTAAGCTATGATAAGAAAATAAACTGACAAAATGGCCAAGCAGACACGTGTCTACCCACATAGGGCTTAGTCTGGTGGGAGAGACAATTGCATCCTGCGTGGTCAACAGTGACAGAGGAGCCACAGGGATTCGGGGATGTGAGGGGCGTCCTAACAGACGTAGGAGGGGAGGGTGGAGAGGCTGAGTCCCTGAGGGGAGACTGTTCTATTGCAGCAGAAGTGGCTAAGACTAGAGGACAGACGCCCCACTGTGTCAGGAACCCTAGTTCATATCATGGCTCTGCCGACAACTGGCTTATGACCTGAGGCAAGGCCTTTCCTTTCCTGGTGCCTCAGTTTCCCCGTGTGTAAGATAAGAAGGTTGCTTGGTGCCCCTATTTTTGCGGTCCCATCCTCATTCCCTATCCCCTACTCGCCCAGTTTGGTTTATTAGAAAACAAGACAGGAACTTTTTTTGCACCCGAGTCCAGGAAGCCACAATTTCTGCTAGCGAGCCTTGGTTGGTGAGGGCCCTGAATTCTTGCTCCAGCCCTGCCAAAGGCTCCCTACATGATCTTGGGTCCCCGGACCCCCTGTCTGGGCCCTGTATGTGCGGGGGGAGACACCTGGACCCTGTCTCCTCAAATGCTCCATCTGGGTCCCACTGCCTGCCCCCTCCCACTGCAGATGCCAAGGGGCTGAGCGACCCGGGCAAGATCAAGCGGCTGCGCTCGCAGGTGCAGGTGAGCCTGGAGGACTACATCAACGACCGCCAGTACGACTCGCGCGGCCGCTTTGGCGAGCTGCTGCTGCTGCTGCCCACGCTGCAGAGCATCACCTGGCAGATGATCGAGCAGATCCAGTTCATCAAGCTCTTCGGCATGGCCAAGATCGACAACCTGCTGCAGGAGATGCTGCTGGGAGGTCAGCCAGCCCGGGGAGGGAGGCAGAGGGTGGCGGCGCTCTCCAGGAGACAAGACCATGCCTCAGTTTCTCCATCAGGAGAGCTGGGGCAAGGGCAATGGGCCATTTGTTCAGGCACTGAGAGCCTCGCTGGTGCCAGATACTTTTGAAAGTGCTGGAGACTCAGGAATGCGATCTTTGCATTCCTGGAGGAGCGCGTGTGTGTGTGTGTGTGTGTGTGTGTGTGTGTGTGTGTGTGTGTGTGTGTGTGTGTGTGTGTGTGTGTGTGTGTGTGTGTGTGTGTGTGTGTGTGTGTGTGTGTGTGTGTGTGTGTGTGTGTGTGTGTGTGTGTGTGCGTGCGCAAACATAGATGTGTGTGTAAAGGCTCATGGAAGCAGACAATGGCCAAGTATTTTATAAAGATGGTAACGACGGATTTTGAGATACACAGGTAACGTGACCGAGTTTAACGAAAAAGGGGGCCTCCTTAAGACTTGATGGATGAAAGAAAAAGGTTTTCAAATCAAGAAGAGAACATTCTACTCAGAAATAACTGGTTTAGGGCCTTGTGGCAAGAGAGGTTTGAGAAAGAAGGGCAGCATTTTGATATATGAGATGAAGGTGGAGCTTAGGTAGAAAACAAATCCTAAGCATGGTTTTGCAGGTATGGTCAGAAATTTGGATTTTTTTTTCTTTTTGTTTTTAAGTTTATTTTTGTTTATTCCCCAACACCACCAATGAATGAGAAAGACAGAGAGAGACAGAGACTAGCTGATTGGTCATACATGAGGAGTGAGAGGAAGAGCCACAGTCAAGAACAAAGTCTATATTTTGATTTAAGTAGCAAAAATGATGGTGGAGTCATTTACTGAGCTGAATAAGAACAAAAAAAGAAAAAAAAAACCTAGAGGCTGGGTGTGGGGTGATGGTGAAAGGTGACCCAAGAGGTCCACTTTGGACTTCAGGTAGGCCTGAGATGGTTTTTAGATCTGGGCTGAGTTATCAAGGAGGCGGTTGCATGGATAAGTCTGTTTCTCGAACAGAAGAGGAAAGGCAGCCCTGTGCTCTCCAACATTGAGGAGTCAGGAGGAAAAGGGTGCAATGATGGAAGGCCATGGAAGTAGGGAGATCGCCAGAGGGACAGGAGAAAACCAGGCAAATTCCAGAGTTGTAAAAGACACTGTTTTAAGGACAGAACATTGGATGCTGTTCAGTTCCACCGAGAAAAAGAAAGGGGAGGGAAGGAAGAGAACATGAATCAGGGAAGGGACGAGAAACGGGGGGAAGGTGAAGGAGGCATGGGAAGGAAGAAAGGGAAGGAATGGGGAGGGAGGTGTCCATCTGCCTGGCAACATGGAGGCTCTTAGCAACTGTGTTGATGGCTGTGTCAGGACCACGAGAATGGAAACCAGGTTGCAGAGTGTTCAGAGTGAGTGAATGAGAAAGTGAGAGAAAGTGAGAAGTGTAGATAGTGTAGACGACTCTGAAAACGCTTTACCGCGAAGGGGATACGATGAAGGAATGGCAGATGATGGCAATGAGTGATTATAATGACAGTTGGACTGAAAGAGAACTACAGTTGGGTGATATTGTAAAAGTGGGGGTCAGTAAGGGTGAAGAATTTTTGCAGCTGTGATACTAGGTTAGGTGAGCTGTAAGGACAGGAGGCAAAATCAAAGTGAGGAAGCTTGAACTTAAGATTTTGGAGGTGACTTAGTTACCAGTGATGAGGTGTCTGAGGGGAAGGTTTCTCAACCTTGTCACTTTCAGCGTGTGGGACTGGATGATTCTTGGTTGTGTGGGGGGAGGAGCTTTCCTGTGGATCATTTAGATGCACTCCTGGCCTCTACTCATGAGATGCCAGTGGCACTTCTCCAGTGGTAACAGCTAACAATGTCCTCGATGGGGCCAAATCCATTTCATTTGAGAACCACTGTCAAATGTTTTAATTACATAAAACATATAAAGCACTGTCAGGCAGTGTCTGGCATACAATGGGTGCTCAATAATTGTTAGTTATGATTGGATTAAACCTATTTTAAAGCCTCTTATAAGCCTTACTATTGCACCATCATCTGTGGCCAGCCCAGTGACCGAGTGGTTATGGGAGCCAGATCACACATGGCCAACCACACAGTTAGAATCCTGGCCCCGGTGGCCTGAAAGTTACAGTGGGAACACCTGTGTGCATGCTTAAAATCCCAACAGGGTGGAGAAATGGAGAAGAGATGGCAGCATGGTCACGCCCCTCTGGAGGCGGCGGGGGGGGGGGGGGGGGTGT